CCGAAAAAAACGACCATGTATAGTAAGGCGCTTTAACCCGAAAAAAACAACCATGTATAGTAAGGCGTTTTTAGACGAAAATAACGACCATGTAGAGTAAGGCGTTTTAACCCGAAAATAACGACCATGTATAGTAAGGCATTTTAACCCGAAAAAAACGACCATGTATAGTAAGGCGTTTTCGACGAAAAAAACGACCATGTATAGTAAGGCATTTTAACCCGAAAAAAACGACCATGTATATTAAGGCGTTTTCGACGAAAAAAACGACCATGTATAGGAAGGCATTTTAACCCGAAAAAAACGACCATGTATATTAAGGCGTTTTCGACAAAAAAAAAACGATCATGTATAGCAAGGCTTTTTTCGACACAAAAAAAAACGACCATGTATAGTAAGGCGTTTTTAGCCGAAAAAAACGACCATGTATAGTAAGGCGTTTTTAGCCGAAAAACGACCATGTATATAGTAAGGCGTTTTAACCCGAAAAAAAAAAACGACGTGGTGGATGGTCGTTTTTTTTTCGAATAATAGCGATCGATGACGGCATTGTAGTTGGCTACCAGCAGGTGAGATGATCTGTATTTGAGCCAAAATGAATCTTTGTGAGATCGGTTCGCAATTGGGTTTTTTTCCCCCTTATAAAAGTTGTCATACGCCGTACCTGATTTAAAATGATAAAAAAACGTGTAAAATACGGGCAAAACGTACAAGTTTACAGGTATATGTCTGTCTGTGGCTGCGCAGGCGCGACGGAGCATGTGCTCAGCGTGCACGTCGTACAGTACCTCCCAAGCCCTTCGCTCCTCCCCTTTCTCTTCTGGTCTTCCTCTCTGAGCACGGCAGCTCAGCCACTGCCAAACCTCGCTTCAGACACGTGAGACACAAGAGAGAGCGACAGAGCGACAGAGAGAGAGAGAGTGAGAGAGAGAAGGAAAATGACAGAGCCGGCTCTCGAGGGAGGGTGCTGGCTCTCATCGTTTACCTCAAAGAGCCGGCTCTTTGTACCGGCTCGTTCGCGACCGACACATCACTATTCTGCACACACTTCACACTTGGCGTTTATTAATGACACGTGAGTGCATCACATGCAAGGATTTCACTTTTCGGAAGCACGGCGGTGGACTCGCTACACTGCTCTTTTCTTCCAGAAAAAGGCCGACTTTTTTGACGTTATTTTATGAGTTAAAAACAATGCTGTTCAATTTCTTTTGTATGTGTACCCCATGCATGTAACAATTTTGTTTGTAAGTGCTTTTGATTATGTGAAGCACATTGAGTTACCTCGTGTATGAAAATGCACTCTATAAATAAAGCTGCCTTACGTCTCTTAAAGATGGAAGGAGCCACTGAGCCAGAATAGAATTTTTTTTGCAGGGGTTTTTCTTTGCATTTCTTAAAGCCAGTTGAAAGTTACCACACTTTAGTTTTGTGTGGTGTCTGTAATCAGCATTTTTCTACATTTAACAAGTGAAATAACACCCTCAGAGGCCGATGATTCCATTTTTTTTTTTTTTTTGCCAGAGGTTTTACATTCGTTATTATCAAGCAAGGGGAGACAGACAAAAGAACCAAATGGGTAATGTGAGATTTACAATCATTTAATTAATGTCAAATGTAATTTACAAACGGGAAAAACGTATCATTTCCAAGAATATACAAGACACAAAATAATTGTGACATAATTCATTTTGTGCAATTTGTCATCTTTGGGGCAGATTTGAATCCATCAACAGAGCCAGGAATGGCACATGAGATCCGGGTTACTCTCTGCGATTAAAGTGTTCTGGGAGGTTGTCAGATACGGAGTGAAGAGACAAAAAAAAAAAAATTCAACAGTGGGGATGAGCTCATTCGAGGAATTGCCTCGTGCCCACTTGTTCCAGGTGTCGTGGTGATACGGGGCAAAGGTGCGTTTCCATGGTGGCACAGTGGATTGATCAGATTTGTCACAATGAAGCTTCCAAATCCTATTAAAATGTTCACAAACTGAATTTTTTTTCTCTTCTTCATATATGATGACCCAGGGTTTGTCAACAGGACCACTCGTGTTACTTAAGAATGTTTTATTTTGTTTTTTTTTTTTTTCCTCAGCATTTTTACCAACAATACAGACACCACAGAATACATAGTTTTACAAACACAAAGCGCACCACCACCTCGGCTGCTGCCGTCGGAGGACAAGTGGTGGGGGGGTTAAGCTGCGGGGTTGTGGCCGGTTCAGCACGGGCCACACTGCATTTTTCCAGAGGCTTCCTCTCAATGAGCTGGAAAAGTCTGGTTGTCCTTTTTTGACCGTTGCGGCAAGCAGTATGAGAATGAAGGAAAATGACTTTTGTTGTCAGAGAGTCATTCGGTTAAAACGTAAGGAAGGATCCGCAGCTATTCTCAAAGTGAAAAGAGTATTGGGAGCAAAAAGCAGCAGCTTCGTTCCACCGCTCTGCTTGCTTGACATGAACTTGGAAGTCTTGGGACGTCGGAATCCCTCCCAACCAGAAAAACAAACAGAAGATCATCACTTGCCTCTTTTTTTTTTTTTAAGCGCTACACTCAATTACCGGGAGGTATTCTGTCAAAGTACACCTAAATCTTGACCAGCTATTTTTGAGTCGTCTTTTTTTTTCTGTACAATGAGCATCTTCAAACCATCTTGTTTTGGAAAATACAGAAGGCTTCTTTTAATTTCAGCCGTTTTTTTTTGTTACCTAGACCCTTCTGACGAAAAACACAACTTAAATATTGTACACTCGTTTATGTGTCCACCTGTATGCATTTGTGTTGTGTGCGTGCGTGTACTCCATATTGTTGAAACTCTTAACTTTGTAAACGTACACAACTGTAATGACATGTGCTTGGACTGCATCTTGAATGGGCGGGGATTTTTTTTTTTTTTTCCCTGAAGAAACCAAAAAGGGGTTTATGTTGGACAAGAGGTCAGGGAGGAGTCCACCTCAGGGAAATGACTGGGAGATTCTTCTCAGTTGGTCAGAAAGCTCAGCTGTCACGGACAGGCCTCTTCTCGAGTTTTCTTTCTGCATATAATAAGGGAAACCAACAACAACAAACAACAACAAAAAGTTTTCCATCAAGTTGAGTGGAGTCCACTGGGATGTTGAAAAAGAGTCAGGGCACATGATTCCAGTCTTGGAGGTCGGCTCGTTCAGAATTTGCTAACATGTCCAGCTCCGGTGGAGCTCAAAGTTCTCAGCAGGACAAATGTGGGTGAGTCACACGTGTCAGGATGTCTGCTGGCTAACAGGACATCAATAGATGACACGCAATATTGTGGAGGAATGTCCAGCCCCCCCTCCCCTTCCCTCCCCAGTGTTATTGTGGCAGCAACAGACAGTGAGCGCTGCTCATGTCAATCGTTCATTCGAGCCACTTCAATTCCCATAACTTTCTTTTTCCTAAGGTTTGGCACCGACAACCTGGTCCACAGAATTGCCGGGGCGGGGAAACAAAACGACAACGAGAATGAACTCCACGGTGGTGGCTGAGGCTCGGAGGCGGGCTCTTTACAAGTAGACGCGTCGTAGGTCTCCGGGAGAGGTGATGGTGTTGCACTGAGGGCACAGCTTCTTGTTCCCCTGCGGACAACGGGCGAAATAAGACAAGCGGGTCAACTTCAGTTCACGACAGCGCCAACTCTATCGCGTGGTGTGCCGTGCCGGTGCGGGCTGCCGGCTCGAGGGAGGTGACGGATCAGTGACGGTTGCCGTGCTCACCGTGTTTGAACAAAATAAGACGGCGACCGGATGGTCTGCGAATGTAACGGTGACGGCAGGGTCCTTGGGAGTTGATATGCTAAAGCTAACAGGAAGTCTGCCATTTTGAATTTTCTTTCAAGTTGAGCCCCACTTAACACTGTTGCCAGTGCGATGCACTGTTGCCAAAGAAAAATTACACCATCGTTTTAGGCTAACTGCTTTTGCGCATGGGACGGGAGGTGTCCTTTCGACATAAGAAGGATGCGAGTGAAATATGTACTGATTGATGACAACCCGTGCGTGTGGAAACATACCAGAGTCCTGAGCCAGCATTCTTCACAGTGGACATGCCAGCACTGTATGGAGGTGAGTGGCATCGTGTAGGAGTCCTGCAGATACAGAGAACGGACGGGTTGACGCCACGTTCATGCGACACAATCATGTCCGGCAGCTCGCGAAACAAACAAACAAAAAATAAAAAAACCCAAGTACAAAGCACTGTACGACAAAGACCAACCCTGACCACTCGGGCGCATCACACCACTGACCATGACGCGACAGTACCGGCAGCCACAGAACCACTGAGCAAGGCGGCGTGGGGGGGAGGTGTTTGAGCAGCGACCTACATGTCGTTTATGCACACACACGCACAGACAATATCAGGCAGGCAACAAGCAGCGACGAGGGGGAAGCAGGCTCGGGGAGAAGATGAGGGAGACAGCCACGAATGAATCCAATTTGATCGCCGCTTGCTTGTTTTCCTCTCAGAAAGGACGGAGAAATGAGGGAGGGGGTGGTCAAAGGGAGGGCGGGAGTGCCTTACCCTCCGTAGAGGCTGCGGGAGGAGCCTCTTTATGCTGCCGCCGTAGCCACCAATCACAAGGCCCCTGTACAGGTAGTACAAGCCAAGGGGGAGGGACTTAGGCTGCCTCTCTCTGAGCTCACCGGCCAAAGGGCGGGGCCCTGGCCATGCCCCTAGTCTCTTGATTTCCACACCTGACTGGATTGCGGGCTTCCTCTGCGGAAGGGAGGGATGGGGGGGTGTTGGGGGAGGAAAGGGGGCGAAAGGTGGCAGCATACAGGCGGCTTGTCGTGATCGCGCGCGCCCAAATGCACGGGGCAACTAATGGATGCAAAACACCAACGTCTCATACTGATGAGAGCGCGCGGACCAGTGAGAGCCGGCCAGCGAGGACACAGCAAAGAGAACAATTAACTCATTCAGCCAATTCTGGACCGAGTCTGAAAAGACGTTTAAAAACGTCTTTGGGAGTGAATGAGTTAAGAGGCCACGCGTCCTCCAACGGGAACCAAACTGAAGGTCTCATAGAAACCCAATTCCAATGGCGTTGGGACGTTGTTTTCAACATAAATACGATTTGCAAATCATGTTCGACCTGTTGTGTGACTTTGATGACTGACTGATGCTGTGACGACACGCCGCTTACGTAGAGGAAAGGCGGACGTCACTGAGGACAGCATGCGGGCGTGAAAGAGGACGCGAAAGGCACGCCCCCAGTCGGTGGATATAATCCCGGTACGTGCGTTGGGCAAAATCGGTTTCATTTCAAGTGATCGGCCGATCAACGATCCCCCGAAATTACGGAAACGGGCGCAGATTCTGAACCCGGCCGATTCGACACGGATGAAATCGCTTGACCAGCGAAATGCTTGATTACCTTTTGACGAATGTCGTCATTTTGCATAGAGGTGGATGGACATGAAAACGAGCTTCATCCTAACAGGTAATCGTGGCAGCGATCACAACTACATTTGAAATCGTTGATGTATTGTACCAAGTCCTCAAGATAAGTCCTTGAAATACTCAGTGACCATTTCTAACGACTTTTTCTCAAGATATACTGTAGATAGTCACACCAAACTCCATAGTTGCACACATCATCCGAGTTTCAGACTTTTTGGACATTTTTTGGACAGAGTTTCATTTTTGGCAAATACTGCCGTGCGCTTGTGGAGACGCTAAATTGACTTGCAAAGCCATGCGGCTCTCCAACTGCCATGACAACACACACAACACCACCACACACACCACTGCAGCCAAAGATGTCGAAAACAATGATCACAAAATGAGATGTGCGCACACTGAGTAAAACGAAAAAACAAAACCAAAACAAAAAAAGATGAGAGGGGAACTCCCACAGTGTCGTCCCTTAAAATGGTTGTTAGTTGCATGTCACAAATGAGGCTCTGGGGACCGGACAAATTGTTATTTGCCATCCCCTTCCTTCTTTCTTCTTCTTACGACAACCAAGTACACAGGAACTAAATGACGCATCTTCAGACAAAAGGCAGCGCGGCGGCCAGCATTCACAAGCAATTTTCCTCGCTCGTCGATGCTCACCATGCAGATGAGACACTTGTAGCGGTCCCCTCTCAGTATCTGCTTCTCCAACTCTCTGATTCGAGCCTTCAGAGCCTCCATGGTGGTCGCCGTGGACTCGTCCTCTGTTACTCTGAGGAGCGGGAAGACGAGAGAGAAATTACAAAGACGGAAACCAACCGTCAACACCATGACAACTATATACTCGGGGAGGAAAAAGAGATGCTTAGATTCATCATGTTGCAGATGTAAGCGGCTCTGAATCGGCTAACCAATGCTACAATCCAGTTGAACCCCGTTACCACGTACATCGGGGGGACATCACGAATCTGTACCTTATAAGCCTACTGAAGTTAGTTGTACCCATTTCCTACAAAATGGCCGCCGACTACTGTGCATCACACATTTAGAGATGTAAAAACATGAACATGTAATGGTGTTAAGTGCCTCTTCTCCAGTTCAGGAGGTGCCGCGCCCCGAAGCCGTTGACGATCATCTGTTGGCCTCCAACCCTGCCATGATTTTGTTGCCATGACGGACAACTGTCGAAATCGTTGACGTTGCCAATTGGTCGTCTCGTCTGAGAGACTCCCTTTGGAAAGTCGGAGCCAATTGCAGCCTTCACAGCGCGATTTGCTTAACGTTTGGCAGACATGTTTTGTCATGAGAGAAATTGGTCGCTGCCACAGCCGGCTAACAGAGGCCTTAACAACACATGACGCATGTGATGAAATATCGAAGTCGCCATTGATTTTCCCGCGCCTCTCCCTAATGCGCACCCCTCCGTATGCAGGAACATCATCAATGAGGCGTCTCATAAGGGCATGTAAAAAGTGAAGACGCAGGATGCAAAATGTGTCTGGGAAGGGGATGCGGAAAGCGAAAGACAGTTGAAAAATATGTCTGCGCAACCTCAAGATTGAATGAGACGGCGCCAACGGAGAAACTACAAGTCCACGAGTCAGGAGGAGGAGGAGGTGAGTCGTCGAAGCGGGCTTCATCACTTGGAAATTGGGGACAGATTCAATTATTTGCAGAAACCACATGGAAATCTCTCCGCATTGTTCCAACCGAAGCGCCAAATTTGGCAGCAATCACATTGGCGGCATTGGAGGGGCCATTTATCTTGGAGGGCAAAGGGCATCCGAGGGACTCCGTACGCGCGTCTGTGGATGCGTGTGCGTGCATGAGAGCTCATTTATCTTGCGGGGGAATGAGCAGGGGGAACGAGGATGCCCTCGGGAGGCAACCAGATCATTACCCATCTGGGATCAGAAAGAGAGGGGGTGGGGGGGGGGGGGAGACGCGGGGGAAGAAGCTGCCCCGCGAACACGGATCAGTGTAACCAAAGGAGACAAATCTCATTTTCATTTAGGGATAGCGGGACGAAGGGGCCCATTGAAAGGCGAAACTAGCGAGGCAAGGAATGGTGCGAGCCCGCCATCTGAACGTTCCTTCCAGTGCAATCAGTCGCCGCCTCCTTTAACGGATCGCGAGATGAAGGCGTGTTCTAATTCAGCCACTCACAACCGAGCTGGCACATCAACTTGCAATACAATGGCAGATTTTTGCCCCAGAAATTGTGAAATCAAATTTCTTCTTGAAATCGGAGTCGTCTTTTATAAGCGAGAGGCTCATTTCTTACAGCCCAAGACTTAATGATTCTTATATTCCACTCGTGCAGGGGTGCCCAACCTCTTTTGACTGAAGACTGACTTTTCCAAGCGATCGACCCGTACCGCACATGCACGCATACAGGTGAGGGAGACATCTTGTTTCCTTTGAAATAGGACTGCAGATGAAAATTTGGGCATTTGTCCGGGACGCCTACTTTTCAATCTCGCTGTTTTTACAGGTGCGTGGGACGCAGGAGGCGGAAGACGGAGTGGAGGACGAGGGAGCGCTTGGGTCCATTTTGCAGCTTTCGCCATTGCTCGTTGAAGGCATCTCTGTCAACACAGGACAAACACGGACGGGATTCATTTTCGGGTCGGTTGCCGTCGTCTCCCGATGTCGCAATGATTGCAATTATTTGCCCTCTCACCATCGCTCGCCCATTTGGAGAACTCGGGCGTTATTCTGTTGGAGGGCACGCCTCCGCTGCAACAGAAAAAAAAGGGGTTTTGTTTAATTTGCAGAAAATGCTTAAAAATGGGGATTTTCAAATCAGATTCAAACTATCAAGTCCAGCTGCTGAAAACGGCCTCTCCATGGGGGGCGTTGGCTTATTGACGCGCAAATTTGTGACATTTTTCTTTCAAGATTAGTCTGAAATTTGTTGTGCCCAAATGAACAGTTCAGACAAGAGTCGCAGCCTACGGCACAACTTGGGCTGGGCCACATATCGTTATCGTTTCGAACTCGAGATCTGAACGTACGAGACAGCAATATCGAAATCGGTCAAGAAATCCGCTTCCGTGTTCGCAGTCAATTATACAGGGATGGCACACAAATGTTTTCGAATATGACGTGACCATATTTATAATTTCAAGTGTATAAAATAGTAGAGGTTGTTGTAAAAAAAAATGGAGGCGCAGACTGAATGGAGCGGCAATGTGCTCTTTCGGTAATCATCAATTTGAGCCATACGGCACCGTCCGACGCACAATACAAGTCGACTTGGATTATTTGATATGATTTTTCTTTTTAGTGTTCGGCGGTCTTGGGATTCCTACTTGAGCACGGCCCCCCGTAGTGCCTCCCGCTCTCTGGCTTCTCCTTGGTCCTCTCCAGCTCCAGAGCATGGAATGATGTCAGCCTCGGTGTACTGCGCTTTGCCATACTCCAACGTGTCGTCTCCATCCACGTCGAGGTCTGCGTCGCTGTCTGCCCCGCTCTCTTTGATACTACATGTAGCAAAACCGGTGGCTTTTTTTTGGGGGGGGATAAAATGGAGAGATACGTTAGATTTCATCAAATCATCGCAACAAATTTCAATGATTTCCAAACAAAAGCAACATCACGAGTGCTTCCAAGGCGTCTATCGCTGCTCATTGACTATCGTGATAGAAAATTGGGAGGCAAATTGTCTCGAACTTGATCAAATGTTGCTCACTCAAGACCGTGAGGACGAGGACATCTGTTAGCCTATTGTAGGCCACCGGATGATGACGGCGACCGCAACAATCAATCCTGGCAAGGCGACACGGTTGGTGCGTGCGTGGCACATCTATAAAGCCAGTGATAAACGAGCAGACAAATCCTCACAGGTGCATTCAGCTCCACTTAGTCGCAAAGCCTGGCGGATGTGTGTGTGTGTGTGTGTTTGTCCGTCACTTGGGGAAGTCTCCTCAGTGTTTGTTTGAGACAGCCTGTGCCTCTGTCACTTAAACCCTGCCTCGACGACTCCTTCAAGCTGTGCGTCTGCCTCCTTCGCCAAGGTAGGGCTCTGAGTGTGTACTTGCGTCTAAGAGTGTGAATGACACTCAGCCTGCCAATCCCCACACTTGAAGCTGCGCGCGTGTGCGGACTTCAGATGTAACCTGTGACAGACTAGACGGCCGTCTTATTTAAGCCTGTCCCATTTTCTACATACGCTCAGTTGGACTCGTGCGTGCCGTGCGAGAGATGGAGAGATGCGCGTAAGACCATGGACAGACTTGACAGTCTTGACAGCCATCTTGCTTAACCTGCACTTCCAGTGTCTCAATGCAACGTCGGGTCTTTTGCGAACAAACTACAGGGGCTGGTCTTCAGAATTCTGCATGGATTTGAGCCTCTGATGCCTCTTTGGATGCCAACAAACAAAGCAGAGTCAAGCTTCTCGAAATCTAGACAGAAAATTCGGAAGGACGCGAGCATGGATGAAACTTCAGCAAGCCGCTAAGTTGTGTAACATTCACGTCGACGGTGGCCCCTCAGTTTACAACAAATGTATTCTGCTCCAGGACTCGTGTGAGAAATATGACTTTCGATCGTAAATCTTTTGGCTGGCGAACAGAGGCGGTGTTTCCCCACAGAAATTGAATACAAATGCAATGAATCAGTTCCATCCACAGAACAAATTGATCTTTGCCTTGTTTTTAATTCATCCAACTCTGTGAGCTCCTTCGCCCCTGCCCGGTGCGTCACGTCTGCGGACCAGACGCCACTAGAGGTGGCGAGAACTAAGCGGAGGCTCCGAGGGGATGGAGCGTTTCCCGTTGCCGCTCCTATCTTTCAAACTCATTTTTAGTCTCTGGCTTTGGACTCAGCATTAGACTTGGACTGTTTTGGGGCGTTCTAGTGTCCGTGTGCAGCACTTTGTAGAAAGCGGCGGTTGTTTTAAAGTGCTCTAAAAATACAGTTGAGTGATATTCATTTTTATATTGTTCCTGGGAATTTTGCTAATTGCGCTCTTTTATTAGTGGCTGCTGCCGGGCCCTCAGTAACCAATTTCATTCCACGTATGAAATGTTTTTTGATTGGAATGGCAAATGAACACCTTAAATCATGGAGACCCAAAGCCTCACTAATACGATCATCGGGGAGCTCTCGTACCTTGCCCGAGCTGCAAGCCAGGCCGACTTTCAACTCTCCCGCTGCTTCCTTGAGCCTGCTTGTTAGCCGTCGCTAGCTAGCGGCTCCTGTTTGGGTATCGCACCGTGCACGGCTCCCGATTTTGCAGCTCCTGCTGCATTCACACCTACGTAAAGCATCTTTGGAGTTTGAGAAACGCGGCATAGACATTTGATGTATTCCAATTACAACTCATTATCATAGCAAAGGCGCCCATGGCAGACTGAACAGCGGCATCAACAACACAAACATCACGCTCAATTTTAGCTCTAATTTTAAGCGCTGAGGAGCGTGTGCCCTATTTGCTCCTTGCGTCTTTCCGATGCTGCCATCAGTCCCTCTAAGCAGTCTTGGCAGGCCAATCTAATCTCGCAGGTTAAGGTCAGCCCCGCTCTGCCTGCCTTTCACTCACATTACGCACGGTCACCCTTGACCTCTTTTTATCTCTCACCTCTCCTCCTCAGCTCCTCGTAACAACTCAGCTTACCTCTTATTTTTTTGGAATGATCAGCCCTTCATCCTTTGAGGTGTTTTTGCCTTGTCTCTATTCCTTCCCTTTGTTTCTCCTCAAATGGAACACGTAGGTTCTTAACTGCCCAGCGGCGCTGCTCAATCGACTGTTTCCAAGAATCAATCGAGGAACTCGAGCACAGCAGCTCGTCTCTTCATCACAGAACATCGCGACTATCATGAAACCGAGACAAAACAATCAAAATGATTGACAACAACCGCGTACATCATATGAACAAATATGGAGAGCGGAGAGAGATGAAAGAAGTCGCCGGGCCGAACGAATCAGGCCAATCTATCAGACGTGCAACATGCCGTTGCCATAGCAATTATCGTGACCGCCCGCTTTGGACGGTCTGAGATGGGCTGTCAAAGGTCATCGCACTATCTTTCTGCCCTTTGCAGGTCAGAAGGAGGCACAAGAGACCGAGTCAAAGCACAAAGGCATGAGACGGTCATCTTTGAAGTCAATTTACAAAGAGGAGATTTCTCCACGTTCTGAAGCCCTCTTGGCTCTCCCAAACGGAAATAATCCCCTTCTTCTCTTCCGTCTCAGGACGGGCAGATATCAAATTTAAGGATTTGTCTGCGCCGCTCCCTCTCTTTGCGCTGCACTCCATTGATAGTTGTTGTTGGTCGGCGGCTTGAAAAACATTGGGGGCGGCGAGGAGAGGTAAACAGACTTAAAAAACCTCATGTGGACTTTCGCTCCAATTCTTGAGGTGTAACAAGTTCAAATAAATTCTTTTTTTCAGCGCCTGCTCTTGCGCATCTTTTATTTATGCATTTTGGTCGAAGAAAGAAGACATGTTTGTGTTTAATCAAAATACGACCTTTGCAAACATTTGCAACAATCAACATTTTTGACAATTTTCTGACAAAAAAAAAGGGTCAGGATTGTTGCTAACGTGAAAACTACATTTGGCATTGGTGCGCTTCATCTTTTTTTTTTTTTTTTTGAAGCAGTGCCCACAATATCCAGAAAAGTCGCAAAATCAATGTCTTTTAGTTGGCTCCAACTAAGACCCAGCGCCGCTCTTGTTCGCTCAGCACTGCCGACACATGCCCACATCAAAAGAAAGGTGGTGCTAACTTGACGTTTCCAGTGTACGCCAACAGAGTTGCATCGTTATAAAGATGGCGAGCTACATGAATAAAAGCATTCCGTTAACAGATCCAGGCAAGCGACAAATGGATAGAAGAGAGATCAATGTACAAGAAAGGTCTTCGGAATCTGGCCGAGCCCCTGCGAGGCACATTGCAAAGTCTTCAATTTCACAGAGTTGAATCAAACTGATCTGGTTTGATTTCCTCCTGCCTGCTTTGACCGCACTGCGCTTCTCCTCTCTCTTTCTTCCTCATGCGCCGAAAGGGAGGAATGGGCTGGACAAAGACAGAGGGTCTCTCTTCATCTTGCCAGCTGAGGATAGATACTCCAACCAGCATCTCGCCCCATCGAGCTAGCCCCTTTTTTCCCCCCCTCGAGAGGGTTGTGGATTCACTGCCGTCTCTTGGAACCATCGTGGAACTTTCATGACAAAATCCACCTTCTGAGCTTTTTTTCCTTGTGTGTGTGTGTGTGTGTGTCCATGCTTTTCAAGTTCTTCTCCCCAGGCGACCCGAGTTATCTGTGCCACATCACAAGGTGCCCTATTAGAGTGCGGCAGAAGGGTCCAGCTTCTCCTTGTTTACAAACACTCAAGAGAGTCAGACAGACGGGAGGAAGGCTGAGAGCCACCTCCGGCCCCTGGCGCTGCTCTTTAGCGTGCTTTAACCGAGATTACCCCTTGATCCGTCTTGTCTTGTCTTCCCGTGGCTAAGAGACAGGCGATTTGGTATGAGGGCGCTAAGCACGAATTCAAACAAGGGGAAAAAGGGGCAAGCAGCAGGTACGAGAGAATACTTCTATTTTGATTTCAGAGTGCAGAACCGCTGAGCTGTTGAGTGAAACTTGAGTTGATCAAGAGGGAACACGCTGCACGCCTTTCTCGAAATCTACTCGAATCTAAAATTTGGATTCAAGAGAAATTCAAAAGAAGGTGTAGTTTGCACGCGCACACGCGTACCTCTGAAGCCTCCCTCCAAAAGTGCGGTTGCTCTGATCCTCTTCTGTCCCGCCCACTCGTACTCCTCAAAGCCGCGCCCACTGTCGCCGTCCAGATCGGCGGAGTCGTCGTCGCCGAGCGCACCCTCACGCTGTCACAAAACAGGCACGTGTTCATGATGTCATGAGATATTGGTTGTCACATTACACATGACGCTGGCTTTCTTTCTCAAATCTTTTGGATTTTTAATATTGGGGCTGTAACCAAAATCTAAATCTTGAGAGAGAGAAAAATAATTCCTAACACAACGTTCATAATTGTCAGTCTTTTTTCTTGGCTGAATATGAGTGTCTGGTTCCGCTGCCAATCGTGTGACTAGCTTAATGTTCATTCAACCGGTGTCAACTATGAATAGCCTGACTTGCATTTCCCGGTTGCTGAAAAAGAGCGTTCGGCAAGGAGCGGGTCAGAAAACCAGCCGCTTCTTCAAAGAGATCGACAATCCGGTTGATTTGAAGAGGTCAAAACAGGAGTTACACACGGGTGATTTAAATGCACGAAGCGCGGCACGGTACGGCGTTGAGCGGCGCACTGTCTGGAAATGAGGCGTTAGTCGGTCTACGACTAAGTTAATTAATGAGAGGTGAGCTCCAGACGGGTGCTCGCTCCACTACCGAAGACGACTACGGGATGAGGTTGTTTTGTCATACGAGAGCAGCATGCCGATGGTTAAGATGCACAAACATCATCAGGGATACGGCACACAAGAGAGAAAGATTGTTTTTTGGAGAGGGTCATTTGATTAATTGTCTTCAAAACGTTAGTGAGTGATTCCCAAATAGGATGTGCAAGCAAGTCCACCATTCGAACTGAGGAGAGGGTGATGACGACAGAAACCACAAGGCGCTACGTGGCCTAACGGAGAGAAAGAAGGGAGTGGACGGCTGCGACAGGAAGTTAAGGAGGTGACAGGCTGTCCAACTGCAAGCTAGGCGGGGCGCGGGGGCCTCCATTTGACTACCTGGATGAGGCATTGTTCCACATGTCTACTCATCTCCTCCTCGCTCCCGGCCAACGGGGCACTGCACAGCGGACATACCTGGCCCCCATCCTCAGGCTTCCTCCTCTTCATCTTGCCTATACGGGCTGCAAGCCAGACAAGCAGACGGACAATAAAAGTGGGTTTTGTTTGACATACCGAGGCAACACTCGTGAAGTCACGGGAAAAGACTCGGCGGCCTTTTTCATGCGCATCTGGGGTGTCCAACTCATTTTTGTCACGGGCCACCTTGGAGTGACGTCTTCCCTTGGGGGGGCCCGTTAGAGCAGGGAAACCAAAGAAATGTTTCTCATCGTATTATTACTTGTACACAACAAATTGATGGATTACTAGTTTTGAATCCACTCCTGTTTGTTGTTGAGCAGTTATTCTTGTGACAACTTGACATTTCGGTCCAGATTTTAGCAAGGATCATGAAAGTTGACACCCATGATAGCGGGCCGGATCTGACCCCGGCGCCTTGAATTTGACACCCGGGATGTACACGCTCCCAAGACGGCAACCGGACGTGACAATTTTCTCGAGTCCTTCCCGTCCCTATCACACACGGCTAATTAGAAATTTAACAGAGCAGAGCAGCCGGCATTGTGCCCAAAGACGTTTTTCCTTAACTGCAAATGGCATACAGGGACATTCATTTTCGGGAGCTTAATTTAGATCATCTTAGTTATGATTAGAGCACGAGCAAATTATCAGGGGTATGATTACTACTGGTTTTTTTTTTTTTTTTTTGCTGTGCTGCATTGCTCCAGTATTGTTTGTATACAATGCTCAGTTACTTTTTTTTAAACTTATTTGTATGCCTTGAATTTGTAGAACACCAAGTTAGTGTTAAACAGTTTTTTTTTTGTTTTAAGCCAAAACATTTCTAATAAGTAAGCAGATTTTAATTTCAAGGAAACTTGCTGTACTTTTTGATCGTGATGGCAAAACACAAAATCTCCAGAGAATCGGAGCAAAGGTTTGGGGAGCTAAGGCCTGCCAGATTTTGTCATTTGCGGCAAAAAAGTGGCACGGCCACCTTCCTTTGATTGCTTCCGCGTCAGGAACTACTGGGTCAATCTTCCCATTTGCCATTTTTCAAAAGATTGTTAATTTATGATCACAATCATAAAATGCTACTGATCATTTGTAAACATGTTCGACAACTTTTGAAAGATTGAATTTAAAATACTTTAATGAGAACTAAGGCCTTGTTTTCAGATGCATAAGGTCAACGCCGTTTGATGCCAAATATAATTGTTGATAACTTGTGTGATGATGTCATAGAATGAAAAAAGACAAAGAGAAAATTGGCATGGAAGAAAGGAATCCTTGTTCTGAGGTTAGTTTGAAATTTTGTAGAATAAGGTACACAAGCCTGTACAAATGCAACATCGAGACGCAATACTGTCAACTTTTGTTCATTTTGGTACCCGTTGGTGTTGAGATTTGGATTTTGAGCGCCTGCAAATGCAGGACGTTTCATGGTTTGAGTCAATGTGAGCAGTGATGTGTCACTTGAAAGGTTAGATCCGAAACTGAATTTGTAAATCGGTATGAATTCAGAATGGGGACTTTGGTACTGCAGTGTAAATCCATCTTTCAAACCAAATAACATTTATAATCACAAGTCATTCATTTATTTATTCAACTTGTGAAATGAAATTCACAATAAGCTAAAAAGATAGATACGTCTGGGGAAGCAAAAAAAATTTAAAACACGACAAAAATAATGTGTTTAAGATGATTTTGTTGAACATATTAAGTGTCAGTCAAAGGAAGAGAACTCAAGTGTACGTACCATTCAGCCGTGTTTGTCTGTTAGCACGAACTCGTAAAAATGTCTGCAAGCAGAGGAAATAATACAACGGGGAAACACATTAGATGGACAGGAAACAATCCACTTAGTTAGCAAGTTCAAATGTGGCCTTATGAAGTGAGATTGCTACGGATGCTCAGCGGCTGAGCGTTCAATTCAAGGCAAGAGAGTCTAAAACCTACTTCTCGCTTGTTTTCCACCTCTTCCATTCCAACCGGGTTCCACACACAGCTCTTTGCACGGACGCTGAAACTTACTGCGGGAACCCGGATGAGGGTTTCCAGATTCCGCACACGCGGGTCAACATTATGCGGCGTCTAGATTTTACAGCGGATGGGAAAGGATTGAAAGTGCCGCCCGTTTAGACTACTGAAAGGTCCACAGGACGCCATGTTGGGTTGTTGTGATCACGTGACGTCCGCAAACGGAAGTGTGGGGCATAAACCGTTGCTGTGCGTTGTTGCCACTAGAGGGAGGCAGAGGGTGTAATTCGTGACCAACTCAGTCCAGTGGACTGCCACCCTCAGCTAGCAGCTATTTTATTTTCCTCTTCTAACTACTTTACAAAACTGGTTTCACAAACAGATTTACATGGTGATAACCTATGTGCTTCTGCTTTTAATGTTGCTTTAAACGTCTTTGTTTATATATGCTATATATCAGCATATATGCTTTTATATATATATATATATATATATATATATATATATATGTATATATGTATAATATATAAACAAAGACGTTTAAAGCAACATTAAAAGCAGAAGCACATAGGTTATCACCATGTAAATCTGTTTGTGAAACCAGTTTTGTTGTGTGTGTGTGTGTGTGTGTGTGTGTGTGTGCGCGCGTCACAAACTCAAATGGAATCGCAAAGGTCTGAAAGTTCAAACTGTGCAAACCAAAATGTGCTGACCAAAGCATCCTCAGTCTTGGGTTGTATGTCCTGTCTCTGACACAGCAGTAGGCAGGATCTCAGACCTCGGACCGTCAGACCATCATCCATCAACTCTGAGACCCCCACCCACCATCACCTTGGGGAGAGGCTGACTCCTACTATTATATTATTAACGCACACTTATGGAAAGGTAGTGGACTGGTCTGGACTTTTTTTTTTTTTTTTTGAGGGGGTGGGGTATAGAGGCAGACTGACAGCTAGAGATAAAGAAGGTGGCAAACTCTGCCATTATGCTTCATTTTCAGGATGTCCATTGACTTAATCATTTGTATAATATAAGGTGATTTCAGCAGTTTCACTTAATGAGAAAATCTACTTTATAGCTATAAGGCCTTTATGAGCTGTGTCATCTCGAACGTATGGCTGTCACGTCTGCGGGGACTTAATAGATCTTATTTTATGGTGTAAGTGGGGAAACCCACTTAACCTAAAGATATATCACGGCCTGTAAAACACAGGGAACAAACTTTGATGAATACAAAAGATAAAGCAAGTCGGGGCAAAAAAAAAAAAAAAAAAGATAACACCAATTCGCCAGCTGCTTCTTCGAACAAAAAATGGACTGATTATTCATGGCTAAAATGCACGTAGTCTATTGTATATGCATGAAAAAAAAACTATGAAACATTGGCTGAATGCAAAGGTGAAATCTAACTCACATTATACAGAGGCTGTGAAATGTGTAATTGTCACACTATTGTGACATCTTGATGGCTAATGCAGATGATCAAAAATACAAAACCTCTTAGTATAGCAACATGTACATTTTGTGTGTGGGAATTTGTTGTCGTGTGTGTGACCTGGTATCTGTCCGAGTGGTGGGCATCTTCTGATGACAACGGTGAGGCCACCGGAGACTCTCCCTCACGCTTGATGTGCACCGATAACAGCATTGACTAGACAGGAAGAGAGATTTCTTTTGAAAAATATATGCATCACATATCTACTCAGATTATTTTCATTGTACAGTATTGTCAGGATGCACAACAATGCACTTTAAACTTGGAAATAATCTGTACATACCGCCGGCAATTCTCTTACCGACATCATCCCTTTTCAGGGGACCCGCAAAACAAGAGTCAATCATTTGTAAAAATAACACCCACCATGTGGACTGACCAATATTTTCGAGAAAAAAATGAAATTTACCAAATTGTGACAAAGGAGGTTCCAGATCAGCGCCAGCGATCTATTCTACATTGCTGTGTTTGCTTGATGGTGAACGTTCTTATTTTTGTTTTTCAAATAATTAATGGCCTGTGTGTAATCAATAGCACATCAAGAACAGATAATTGACAGGGTGAAGTTGGCCTACGATTGTTTTCGGGGTACACCCGGTGCCTTGACCGTTTCCCACATACAAATACCGCTGGAAAGTGGATACATTTTTAAACAAAATCAAAATACTGAAGTAGAAAGTGAATTTATGCCTTTCGGAATTTTAGGAATGTTCTTGCCTCAGATATATGAGAACGCCGTGCGTCATTGCTAATGGCTGCAACCTGCCTGCCTCTGTCTGTGAAATACCTTCCATTGATGAGCGGGAATCTTTCTGGCATGCTAAGGGGAGTCAAGGAAGGAGGAGAGCTCGAAGATGAACGTGCAACTGGGGGAGGAGGGTTAAACATCTTCAAAAGTGGGGCATAAATGTCTGACGTGGACATTCATGAATCTGTATTCCGCGCGCACAATGTTTGAGCACACAATATTAGATATTCCGGTGAATTCCACAAGGAGGCAAGAATTGTGTTGAGAAAACACCAATAATCTTGATTTTCAGCATCGGCCGAGCTTCTGTTTTCATGTGTGGCTGTCCGTCCATGAAATATTTGTGTTTACAGTCCCCTCCTATTAATCAAGTGGGGCGGAGTGGAGGCTTAAGTGCTCGACAGCTGTAATTTAATAATAATGCGAGAGAAACGACCACCGTCCAGTGCTGCTGGCTGCAGTAAAATGGATTCATGACTTTTATGCCATTTGGTAAGTGTGCGAAGCCTCATTTTACGTTTCGCTCATGTTTAAAAAGGTCAGGAATCATTTACCTTGCGAGCTCAAAATATGTGCATTGCCGTTCAACTAATTATATTCCTCTGAAGGAGGATCTTTCACCAAAGAGTTCAGTATCATCTCACAATTTGACAAAAAACACTTGAAAGAAGTATTTTGACCCCAAAAGTACTTCACTAATAGTTTGGAGGAGAACAGAACCGCAATGCACATTACTGAGACTGTCTTTTGCATCTTTTTACACAGCCTTTGACTCTACGTATACTTATACTTATTTTCGTTTCATTCATAAGATTTTACGTAAGTAAATAATTGTTTCAAGCTTTGGAAAAAAACAGCAGAACTAGAAGCAGAAAAATGTGATAAATGGCGATTCATTATGTAAAATTGTACAATTCATGAGTTTTAAAAATTTGATCCCTTGACAATGCTGACTATCCGCATCATGCAGTGTCGACTGACACGCCTGCAGTGTTTTAATGCTACTTTTGTATTGGAGCTTATCAAATGAGTGGAGTGGTGGTAGCTTTACAAGGTGTGAAACTGTCATATAACCTTTACCCGACCAACGGAGTGACGGTCAGCAAAAAATAAAAAGGAAAAACACTCGCTAGGATGTGGTCACCCTCTTTCCTCACACGGTGGGTGATGTATCCCTTGGAGTGTCTCTACCACACTGGCCACCGCCACTCTCCATGGCCTGCTGCAGAATACTAAGCAACAACGAGGAAATGCATCGTCACGGCAGTACCCCTGCAGCCCCTCTGCTATGCCTGCCACTCTCAAAAACCAAACCCACCCAGTTTTGTGAGGCCGGTCCAAGCAAAGGTCAGTGCCCAGAGGGGCATAGCGTCATGAAAATAGGTCATGAAATTTTTGAGGTCCCTTGATTGCATTCCTGTGCGCATATATATATATATATATATATATACAGGTGTCTGATGGCTTCTCTGTCACAGGATCCATCCATCCATTTTCTGCGCCCCTCCCCCCAAGAATGCCATTTGCTATGTGGATCAAGGGTCAGAAGCTGTTGTGATGAGCCATGGCCGATCCAAAGGGAACCCTGATTTCCCTTTCGTCATACAACACGGAACATTTTCATCAAAAGATTCATGTATTTCTAATATAGATTACATATTACACCTATATGCTGCAACCCCAATACACACACACACACACACACACACACACACACACACACACACACACACACACACACGCAGACATACGTCAATCTATGAAAACCGTTTATTGAGGTCACTTCTCATTCCGATCTGGACTGCATTGTGTTGGTGATTTAAAAAATAAAAATCAAAAGAAAGAAGGAAAGAAAGAAAAATCCACTGATCTCACCTTGGGAGTTCCTGGAGTGACTGGCCCATCCTTGGGTGAAGGAATTTTACTGCTGTTGGAGAAAGAAGAAAAATACAGTGATGTTCAGTACGGCTGCGTAATTAATTGTGTGTGGAAATAATTGTGTGTGTGTGTGTGTGTGTGTGTGTGTGTGTGTGTGTGTGTATGTATATTAAAAAAAAAAAAAAAGCATGTTATGTATTCATCCAGAGAGTTTCCTCACGCACCACGACTTGGAATGCTGTTTGTATATGCATTTTTTGTGTGCATCTTTGTGCAGTGTGCGTTCGCGTGCGTATATGCTCACGTCTGAGTGTGTCGTGTGCATGACAGCTTCACCTCCACCAACAAAGAGAATAAACATGGGTGACATAGTCAAGCTGCCGTGTAATGCCGGGAAATCAGCCAACACTCCTCTCTCCACTTTTTTCTCTCTCTGTCTGTGCCACCTCTCTCTTTCCTTTCTCTATTTTATTCATTACCAGGAACCTCTGCAGAGGCATCAACGATAACAGCCACCTCTACCTGCTTGTTGACGGTGTCAAACAGCGAAAAGAGATGGAGGGGAGGGAGGGCGGGGATGAAGAGGGGACAGTGGCTGAATGCCTGCTAGGACAGGAGAAAATTGCCACAATGACAGACGGGGGAGCGAGAGAGAGATTAAAGTATAGGGAAAAGGTGGGGGAAAGAAAGGTGGCCTAGATGAAATGTGAGGACAAAGAACAGGGAGGAAAAACAGGCAATGTAAAAAAGAGACTAAGCAGAGGCAAAGATGAAAGATGACAGAAAAGGAGAGCGGAAGAAACAGACGGCAGAGTTGCCGGCGCCTCCTCCCATGCGGCTGCCGCGCGTGAGTTTGCCCGGTTCTATGAATTTTTGATGGCCGAGGGTTACGGGGCTGGCAAATTGTGACGCCTTGCCATGTTAAAATAAGAAGAAGAGTGTGGAAATGAGCAGCACACCAAAGTGAAACAAACACACAGATTGACAGCAGGATATGGGAGGGAAGAATGAAAGGCGCGAGAAAAAGAGATTGTGCAGGGGTAATGAGATGTGGTCGGAACACGCGGAAAGAGACAGGTGAGGATTCCCGACGACAGGGTGGTGCTTAAAATAAGTGCAGTGGAACCTCGATTGAACGGAACCGGAAACCACGCACTTTGGATTTTCCCGTCCAGTCAAAACATCCATCTGTACAGAAAGTGTCAATGTCCGTAAACGCGGCTGTGGCACAATTAACCGACACCGGTGAGACCGTTGATAGTGATCTACGGTCCAGACTAAATTTGTCTCCCAGACACGCCACCATGATGGCCAAGTCGGCAGTGGCGACTGTCTCATCAACGGCAAGCAGTGGAAAGCATTCACATTAGCTTAGCGCCGCGCTCGGCATACACCTCAAAAGGAGCGGATAGCATCGACCTAATCACATCTTTAGCTTCGGTTTTAATGTATCGAGCTCGTGTACGTGATTTTTGAGAATGCTAAAAGAGGAGAGAATCAAAGTGTCCTTTCACCACTGGATCAGAGACGTCACGCTCAAAATGTCGGCTACAAGCTAAATACTCTCGCGAACAATCGGCTCGAATGGACAACCCCTTACCCTAATAAGTCTGTGAAATCAAGTTTTCACTGTCGTTGAACACTACCATGTAAATTGACTGTTTGACATTTGAATTGCTATGCGGAGATAGCGAAGCAAGTAGCCAACGACTTCACCCCACAGCTAGCCATCTGCCTACTTGAGGCTCTGTCTTGACAGTTCAGGAATCAGGAATGACATCAGAGAAATAAACATGACAGAGATGGGCGGAAGGATGCACGAGGCAGAAATGATGCTAAAATCCGGCTCCTGATTGTTTTTTTTTTAAACCTTTCTGTGTAATCTACTAGTGAAGTGGGCCGGGCCGGGCTCGACGAAAAGTGAATCGATCAAGAAAGAAGAGCAGGAAGGTGATGAGTACGAGGGATGGCAAGGAGGAAAGATATGTAGATTACGTTGGCCCCGTGAGTCACCTGAGGTGTACAAGGCATGAAAGATTTCCATTTGCTCAACTGCGTGTGATATTCGTTTCTATAGATGAGAAGCTGCAGACCACAAATAAGCAAAAGATCTCGCCGTCACAGGAGACCGTGTGTAATCTAACCCGTGCCGCACACACAGAAACACATCACGGAAAAAGAAATAGGAAAACACAGCGAAGGTCATGTCTTCAAAGAAGACGACACTTTTGACACTGGCATACCCAACACGCGCCCACGCACGTTAGTTTCCATACGCGCAACTCTTTTCACTTAGCGAGCTCAGGTCTTCATTAAAGGAAAATTTACAGCAAATTGGACCAAATTCCACCTGTCACTTTTCATGTGGGCTGCAACCATGCAGAGGGACAGAGACAAAGAGCGTGTGGATAATGCAAAATTTGGCGAGATTTGTGTTTCTCACTCCACTTCAAATTCTGATCTCATCTTCCAGCCTTTCATGCACCAATCGTGGTAACCTGTCACCTGATAACCTAATAATCTGTCCACAGTAGTAACCGCTGTCCCCGAAAGGGTTAATATCATCCGATCACCACTGTGATCATTTTGTCTCCCAAAGATTTCACTCACCAATGGTGCAAAGATACTAAGCGCTCCAAAATAAAACAGTGGGGTGTCAAGAGGGAACCGTCTTGATCTATTTCGCAGACCACCGCGGGAAGCGCCGACTTAAAGCATAACCATACTATTGTGACCTGATGATCGATCGCAGCTTTCTGACATCTAGTGCTGTTCAAACTTTTCTTGCGGGGACAAAAACACAGATCAAATCCAAAATACTGAGGTATCAACCGCTCGTTTTCATGACGAGCGGTTGATACTTTTTGTTCAGCACGATACTTGAAAATTGACGTTCCCGGCTAAACGTTGACATCACCGAGCTCGTGTGTACGGTCGCGCACAAGACGGCAATTCGCACACATGGAGGCTTCAACTCCTTACCTAAGGCACATGTTGGCAAGTCTTTCGATCTCTGTTTCCATGTGTTCTTGGAGCTCGCCGGGCCTGAGCAGCACTTGGCAGATGGGGCAGATTGGAGCCTGGCTGTCGTACAGTGACATTTTCTTCTTACCTGGAAAAATGCAAAGACAAAGTGAGTTCAAACAAGTGATCGCAATGCAGTTTGGGTAAATAGAGCCGGGGACCTAAACAGTTGCAAAACGTATCCTTCACCGCAGAAGCACGATACTTGAAAATTGATGTTCCCGGCTAAACGGTGACATCACCGAGCTCGTGTGTACGGTCGCGCATAAGACGGCAATTCACACACATGGAAGCTTCAACTCCTTACCTAAGGCACATGTTGGCAAGTCTTTCGATCTCTGTTTCCATGTGTTCTTGGAGCTCGCCGGGCCTGAGCAGCACTTGGCAGATGGGGCAGATTGGAGCCTGGCTGTCGTACAGTGACATTTTCTTCTTACCTGGAAAAATGCAAAGACAAAGTGAGTTCAAACAAGTGATCGCAATGCAGTTTGGGTAAATAGAGCCGGGGACCTAAACAGTTGCAAAACGTATCCTTCACCGCAGAGTGGCCGGGAAAATTGGCAAACGGGCACAGCGAGCGCGAAAACGCCGGCACATCCGCATGCACCCTCGATGAAAATTGAGCCCTCCGTCTCAGGTCAAGGCAGTGAAAAGGGGATTAAAGAAAGAGTCTGCCTTGGATGAGATAATGGCGGATAGACTCTGCCGACATTAGCGGACTTCATTGTCCTTGATCGGCAGGCTGCGGGGACGCCCTCACATGTATTTGTGGCAGCAAACGCCGGCATTCGTTTGGTATGACACGGCGGAAAAGTTCAATCATAACAGGTGCTTAAATGAGAGAGCGCTTTTCGATTGCTCGGAATTTAACCAATCAATTCCATCTCTTTAGCCAAAGAACAACTGGACAAAATATCCTGTTGGGACAACTTGTCACCATGGCAGAGAGCTCGTTTCAATGCTAACAAACAAACACACCTGTTTAATTCATCTCCTTTTCATCACACGTTCACAAAATATTTCTCTGAAGATCTTATCCAAACCAGCACACAATCCCTTTTCCTTTTTGCTTTTTTTTTTTCCCCTTCTCTGTCAAATATTCCCTGAGGGATGTGAATGATTGCAGGAGGCAATGGGCAGATAAATCCAGGGGAGGAGACCAAGACGGGTGGAAAGGCTATGTAGGGGGGGGGGGGGTTGAGGTATGGGGGGCGTCGTTCGTGTCGCACACCGGTCTTGTCAGTGGCTTAAAGATGATTAATGTCGGAACAGAACGCGCGCACGTGCCTTCTTCTCATATGTCGTACTCTGCAAACCCAAAGTTAAAAAAAAAAAACAAAAAAAAAACAGCCAACCTTCATCTCGGGGATGGCAGGACTTCACCAAGTGGATGGACAGAGCGAGAAATAAAGATGAGGAAGGGAGGAGGATGAGAAATGATGAGGATGGAAGGAGAAGACGACCGGGACAATAACACGGAAATAGGCCTGACAGGACTTTTTAGCGTCGAGATTCCTCAGGACGCCGAATGCCGACTGGTACGGCGGAGAAGGGATGGATGAATGCACGGATGGAGGAGAGGGGCAAGGAGGGGCACGTGTTCTCTGACAGCCGTGATTGAGAGGAGGTCGGATTCCGCCTAATGTGCAAAGATGGATTGGCTCTCGTCTTTATTTCAGTCTTTCTGTTGTCCCTCCGCCACCGCGCCCGTCTCAACACACCCTCCTTCCAGTTCACATTTTCTCAGGTTCATCTTTTGGTTCCCACTCGCTTTACAAATGGTATTAAAGTGACCACATTTCAAACGGCTACTTGAGGATCATTCATGTGACGTCTTCATTTATTTGCATCTTCAAATATCAAGAAAAGTTCGACCGTATTATTGTATTAAAAGTACTTACTCTGCCCACCTTCAATTTTTGAGCAAACCTTGCAGCCTGTGTCAAATGTCATTTTTATTTTTTTTCATTTTGTTTTGTGGGTTTTTTTTTCACGGATGGCGGGCCACAAATGGCCCCTGTGCCGTACTTTGGACACCATGTCCAAAAAAAATAAAAGACAAAAAAAAAAAAAAAAAAAAAACAATTAAAATAAAACATGTGCTCATGCAGTTTTATTATTTGAGCCTGTAAAAACGTTCGTCAGACCCCAAAAAGTCGGATTGAAAATGAGAGCCCTTCTTAAAGGTTGCCTTCTTGAATGAGACGACATGCTTCACGGCTGCACCTTGAGCCTAATGAGCAATCAAAGAGTCCAGATGGTGAGGAGGGGGCGACGCATCATGCGGAAGAGTGGGGAGCAAAGAGAAATCGCTCCGTGTTTTCCCTTCTTTGTCCTTCACCGTCATTTTAGTGTTCCTCCTCAGTTGTTTTTTTTTTTCCCTCCCTTTCTTTTTTACCTTTCCGCCCATATTCTCGTTAGCCAGCGCTGCGTAATAGTCTCTGGAAACCCGCTCCTCCTTTTATGCGGCAAGACATTTGGACGAGCTTCAGCCTCTCGATGTCTTGCCACCGTGAAGCCTCACCGGTCCATCCCCGCGTGGCTTTTTGGCCCAGATGAAGTGGGAATCGATAGATGCAAGATAGCGCCGGCTCCCAGTCACAGACTACAATGGGCCGAGGTAAAAGGCCACCTCCAGAGAGGACGGGGATTGTCAGCTCAATACTCACTCTCAATGGCAGCAAAGATAAAAAAGCATTTGGGCTGCCCCTCACGGCTCAGTGGACTAAGAGGCACACCGTGTACTCACAACACGGCTCCAAATCCCATTTAATGACCTGCATTGCCTGTCATCCCTTCACTTTTATCTCACCTATCGCGCCGCTGTCCCGAGAAATACACCGCCGCTTCCCCAGTCGCACGCCACATGCTCCAGCCGGACGTATTCAGACGGAAAATGTCCTTTAATTGACACAAATTCATCCAAGGCAAAGAGCTACGCTCGCCTTGAGCTTTTATTTTGCATTTTGTTCCTTTGTCTTTCAAATCTGCCGTCACGGATTGAATTGTGTTGTAAATTACCAAAGCTATTAGCTAATGAGGCCCGGGCATGTAAAACGGATTGAAGTACAACAATAAGAGCCGGAAAAACCGATTTACGAGTTGGCACGTATACACTTATCGAGAGCGCCACACGCGCTGTCACAAGCTAACCAAAACGCCAAACGCGCAAGCACTTTTCCCAAATGGGATTGCAAACGTGTGGAGGCTGTTTCTCTGTCCTTGAAGACGCACGGCTGCAATTCGGCCCTCTTTGTTGTTCGAATAAATGAGTTTTCTGACATGCATCAAGTGTTTGCGCCCGCCTGGCGCTCGCTTCTCGCCTCCCACTTCTCTGCTGCCTTTTTCCACACTGTTTGCCCGGCCAGTTAGCTAGAACAGCCGCCAACATCGGTAAACAAGGAAATCTCTCAGCCGCACCCCGGCGCGTAACTGCATTACAGAGGCCGATAACCTCTTCAAATAATGTGCGATAAGGGGAATTTGATTTGATTCGCAGAAAAGGGAAAGAAGGCCACTTCTGTTTCCCCTCAATCACATCCTTTTACGTTCTCTCCTTGTTCCTCTTTCTTTTTCATTTTCTCTCTCCTTTTACCAGCCAATTTTCCCCACAGCTTCTCTTTACTTAGTTTAAAGGGTCCAGGCCTCATCTTGTCTCAAATGTCCCTCCCAGCCGCCTCTTCCCTCTCACCACGACGACGCCACTTCGCATCCGCAATCAAATAAATACCGCCAATGTGTCAGCATTCATTTTGACTCTCCCCTCCCTTCTCGCCGGCAATAGAAGGTGAGGTGAGGGGACGGGGGGGATGGTGGAGGGGGTGGGGGGGCTCTCCACGAAGCCATCATCTCCATAATGGTAAATATGAGCCCAAAAGCAGGGACAGCATTAACACAAATGGGTCCAGCAAGGTGTCTTCAAGACAGATGATTTTATTCCTTTATTTTTCCCCCACCCCTCGTGATCTGTGATTTAAGCGAGCAAGACACCGAGCTGATTGTTGCCTCTGTGTTTGCTCATGTGCTAAATAGATGGCTCTGTGTGGCTCATTCAGAGGACATTTGATGAAATGGAACGGGGGTCAAGTTCAGTTTGCCACCCAGGCCGCGTTCCGCTGCGCCATGCGCGCTTCCGCCGTCTCGCCTCATCGGCGTGTGCGAGCGCTTGTGTGAATGTGCCCGCGCGTTCGCAACACTGACAGTGATGCATGGCACTTTTAAATAGCGCTCCTCCACGCCCAGCTCAAAACTCATCACCGGGCTCTTTCGCCATCACGCCCTCGCCTCTCTCCCAGGGGTTGTCACTTTTAGAAAAGCAAATGAAATGTCGGCATGGTGGGGAGGCGGGATCAGGAGATGGCTGGATATAGGGATCAAGAGGGGACAGGTGTGTGTGTGTGTGTGTGTGTGTGTGTGTGTGTGTGTGTGTGTGTGTGTGTGGGTGGGTGTGTTTTGTGCCTGAGTGGTTTGTGTGTGCAAGGCTGGTTTCCTTCTGTTGAAGTCTGCAGAGTTGAAAGCTCTGCGTCTGCTCATGCATGTTTTACAACAAGTGAGAGCATGTCATGAAAATACAAAAATAAAAAAATAGTACAGTCAGTAGGCATTTGACTGCTGATACCAGAAGCTAATTTGCATGCCCCAAAATAATCATGTTCACTTTTGACTAGACACAGTCATCTAGTTTGATGATTGCAGATTGTCGCAGTGTAGAATTGCGCTGGATCATATTTTACATGAAACAACAACCGCATTCATAAACATTCGTTCAGTGAATTCTCAGTTCGTCAACTGCAACAAAAGAGTCAACGTTTTTCAGACGAGGCTTGAATTGGATGCATCTAGATTTTTTTTCCCACGTCACAAATGAAGTGGTGGTGATTTTAAGGAGAAGATACAGAAATAGTCAGAAAGAAGCCAGGCAAAATTAGCACATCACAAACAATCAGCTGACCCGCTTTCCTCGGCTCCGCAGATAAATGATGATCGGGTGATCTTTGTGCACACGCGGGCGCGTTTTTGTGTGCATCAGCTTGTGTAATGCGGGGTTTTACTCCCGGGACCTTGCCGCGCGTGCCTGTCTGAAAAACACAGCAGTGGGATGGATGCTGGAGAGGTTATCTCCCACCACCGACAGCTGTTTCTTCAATCCATCACCGTGACACATGCGCCTGAGTGTGTGCGCGCGTCAGCGTGGGTTCATTGGTGATGTCGTGAAGAAATAGTAAAGGAGACAGAAGTAAATTAATGGAGCATGAACCACTCGCTGACCCACGGAGGAAAGGAACATCAAGACACACTCTCTTTGAGATAAAAGGCTGAAATCATTCCGAATAATGCAGGAGCTGAGGAAGGTAATTGTAGGAGGGCGTTATGACAGAACCTGAAGCAGTGACTGTACCGACACGGAACACAAACAAAATTCAGTTCGTGCACTTTA